AGTAAAAGAAACCAGTTGTCTGGCTGGTCTAATCCATTGTATCTGAAATAATATTCCACGTTTTCTAATAAAAAATGTTCGATGTTAACAGATGATAAAATAATGTTTGAGTAACAAATTAAAATGCATTGAGTCAATAATATAATTTTGAATTATTTCTTAACTAAAAAGTTTTTGAAATCAAAATTATTAGAGTTACACTAGATTGGTCCATCCAACCGGTTAGATGGGAACTAGTCTCCTATTCATAAATGTATATTTTATTATTTTTGCAAGTTACACTTGAGATTTGACAACCTTGTGAACATGTTAACATAGACACGCCTTATTATTAAAAAAAAAGATAAATAGTTCAAATACAATTAAATTAAAAAAATGAAAATGCAAAGAAATGCAGAAAACTAGAAAAAGAAGTAAAAAGACAGAAGATTTGCATCCGTTTTTATTGGGATTATTTTAAATTTTCTACATAAACGACATTGAAGTTGGCGATGAGTAGGGAGTGGATGTCTCTTATTATTATCGAGTTTAAGCTTCCAGCTGAGAGATCATTCAAGAAACAATTTGGCCAACATATATTAAGTTAAGATCTCACGAACGAAGTTCCCTAGGATCAAAAGTGAGTGACAGATATAACCCAGAACAGAGTAGATCAAAGATAAAGAATGTCAAAGTTGCTATTTTGGCATTACATCATTATTTTATAAATGATAAAGGAAAAAATAATAATAAAATCCCTTCGAATTATATAAATGATAATTTAATCTTTCGAAATATTATAATACCAATAAAATTTTTTAGAGAATTTTTTTATCATTAAGGAATTAATGTAAGTGTTCAAATTGCCCTTAGTTCAGGATTTCAAATGCGAACTTGAATGCTATTGCATTCTTATGATTTTTTTTTTAAATTGTGAATTTTAGAATAAAATTTATGAATGATAATTAATATTTGCAACACTTGAAAAATATCAAAATTTTAAATGTAAACTTGTGAATTGCTGTTGAATTCTTGTAATTTTAAAAAAAAATAGTGAATATCGAAACAAAACTTATAAATAGTAATTGATAATTGAACTAAAGGTAATTTGATTATTTATATTAATTTCTTAATAATAAAAAGTCTCTAAGGACTTTATTGATATTATGACCATTTTGAGAGATTAAATTATTATTTATATAATTTGAAGAGATTTTGTTATCATTTTTTCATGATAAAGCCTATATTTATTATTTTTATTTTAAAATATATTTTAATATCGGAAAAAAAGCTACTCCCTCTTGGGAACTAGAGTTTCGTTGGAGCTCGGAAGTACGGGCAATTCCTTCGTTCTTCATAACTATATTTTTCATTATTATTAAATTATATAATGTAGTCTTTTCTTCAAATATGAAAATTTTAATTCACGTTATTTTCTTTTCTTCTATAAAAAGTTTCTTATTTTTTTAAAAAATTATTCTTTATATTTACTTTTTTTTACTTAATTTCATAAAAAAACTTTAATATCTTATTAAAATTTATTATTTAATTAGGACTAATCTATGTTTAACTGTGCTCAAAGAATTGAATCATGAACCAGTGTTTTGACTGGTTTTAATGTACAATTTATGAAAACATTGATTGAAATTTGAGAATTATTTTCTGGCTGTAAAGTTCTATTTTTTGGCCGATTATAGCTGTAAAGTTCAACCAAATTATTTAAAAGAAAAAAGATAGAAAAATCAGCCGCTCACAAAACAAAAACAAAAAAACTTTAATTAATCGGCCAAAATTTGATTCAAAGTCAACGAAATTCTTAACAGATCAATGGAACAAATTAGTTTTATTTATTTCTCATCTTATTTACAATAAGACCAAATTGAACTAATTGTAAGCATATGCAATATAATGAGATTCATTAATTAATTTAATACATTGATATACATCACATGCTTTTGTCAAAAGATTGAATGCAGTCCTTGTCCTCATCAATTTATATTTGCCATGTTGGCAACAAGTTTGGCCAAAAAAGAAGAAAAAGAAGAAATTAAGAAAGATGGAAACCAGTACGTTATCTTGTCTGGCTCTGGTTTAATCCATTGTGTCTAAAACAATATTCCATTTTTCCAATAAAAAATGTTTATTCTTTCAAATTCATCTCGCTTCAATCAATTCAATGTATCTTATCTCCTTCAACGTGGGACTTGGTCATGAATTTTCATTTGTTCTGATTTAAAAAGGAAAATGTGTTCATTGTCTTCTTTAGATCATCCAATAGAATCCAATATCATCATTTTGTTTTAAATTAGTGGAAGTTATATGCTGCTTTGATATTAAATTATAAAATATTTTTGAATAAAATTACACATATCAATAAAATTTATTAAATATACTTTAAAATTTTATTTTTAAAATAAAAAATATAATTTTTAAAAATATCTTTCATTAATATTCAATTTATAAAAAAATATTAAAAAAGAGAATATAAATAGGAAATGTAATATTGCAAAAACATTAATAACAAAATATTATTTCTATTAAGATGTCTTATATTTTAGAACATTAAATCCCTTTCAAAAGTATCTAACAATTTGAGACGGAGGTAGTACTTAGCATAATTTTTTTTATAAATAAAATAAATTAATTGCAAGTGAACAAGCTAATTGCAAGTCAAATCCTCTGAGATTATATAAATTTCATAAAATTTGTATTCTAAAAATAAAAATATTTATACTTTATAAGAATTAATAATGAGAAAAATATTTTTAAAATTGTTTACAGAAATTCATGAACTTGAACTTTACAGTATTTAAATTCATTTTATTGCACGCACGTTACTTTCTTGGAGTCAGCTTCTCTCCTTTGAGAGAAGCCTCCTCTGCCTTTCCATTGTGGCAGAGGCTTAACCTATACTTTAGACGATCTAAATTTAATTTTTTTTATTTTTTATTTATATATTTTAAAATAAAAAACATATAAAAATTATAAAAAAAATTTAATAAATATACTTATCAATCTACAGTCTAAATTTAATATAGATGAACTAAATTTAATATTAAAATTATTTAATAAATTTACTGTTTTATTCAAAATATATTTGCACTACTTAGAATATATCTAAAAATTTAATTTAAAAATTTTTATGGTAAATTTAAAGCATTCATATTAAATTAAGAAGTATATTTATTAAAATTTTTATATTTTTATATATTTTTATTTTAAAAATATAAATTAAAAAATAAAGAATAAATTTAAACGGTTCAAATTTACCTCTAACTCAATAAAGAGGCAGAGGAAGCTTCTCTCAATGGAGAGAAGCGGACTCCTACTTCTTATGTGAGTTAACCTTCTTTAAAAAAAAAAACACACTCACACAGAGAAAAACGCTGCCACACGTCACGCATTGTTGATTCATTTCAAGTACACACTCTGATAATTATTTGATTAATTTGATAGAGGGTACTATTAACTTTAATATAATTTAATTTCCCTCTCTGACCAAGCATTTGTCTTCGGCCATATATTTTGTCACTCAACGATAAACTGTTAAAATATTTGCTAACAATTCTAACAACGTTATATGCCTGCTCATTCACCAAAATATTATGTAGATATTTCTTTAATTTATTGAAATTAAATGATATTACATATATTTCCTTCATTAAAAATACAAGATATTTTTTGAGGGTTGAATGCTAAAAAATATAAAATACTTTTAACCTTATTGAATAAATTACTTTGTATTTATTTTAAAGTGTTTATAGGGGTAAATATGAAAAAATAAAGTTAGTTTAAAAATAAGTAACTACTTTATCGGGGGTGAGATTTGATTAAAAATACCTCATATTTTTAAACGAAGGGAGTACATATATAATTTTCTAAGAAACTCTATATACTATATATTTTATTTTAATTTTAAATATTTTCATTGACTTGAATTAAAAAATTTTAAGATAAAAACTAATCATTGAATTGAGGAAGTTTAACAATTTTTCATTTAATTGAGGATTTAAAAAAGGATTATAGTGTAATTTTATTCATGAATATAATAACTATTTATATACTTAAATATTTTACATGTTTTTTCACATATTTTATAAGAATTAAATGTTAGAAAAATGAATAAACTATTAAAATTTTAAATTATTATCCATTCTAAGCATCATTTAGGAGAAGATATCCAGTTCAATTTTATCTCAATGGATATGTTTTACCGATTCTTTCCTAATCAATTTAAAGAATAAACTAAACCGGCCAGATTGAAGACCGAGTTAATAACACATATATACTTTGGATCCAAGAAATAATCATTCATTTCGTGACTTAACAGATAGTGGTCAGTCAACAAATATTAATTCAATTAATAAGAATTTGATGTATAATTTATAAAATCATGAGTTTAGATGCTGTTGCCGATGTGAAGATTTTATTAGTGAGCAATGTAAATATCTCTGTAAATGTTCTTTGAGCTCAAAGCCATGCCCAGATACTAGCAAGCTCCCAAAACCCAACTCACTTAAACTTTTTACTTTTTCCTTAATTAATTCTCGTTATTTTCTTAAAAATATTAGTTATATATGGTCTTGTTTATAGCAACATTGCACCTCCAAAGTTTTTCACGTCACGTAATTAAAAAAGAAGGAAGAGCATATAAGAATTAAAGTAATATTGAATATTTCAAAAAGCATCAGAAATTAAATTATTATTCTTGGTTCGCACCAAAAAGTACATCACGTAAAAAATAATTTATTATTGTATGTGTTGTGGATATATATATATATATATATATAAATACAAGATTCATCCCTTCTCTTATTATTGCTTCAATAATTATTAATGGCTTTCCAAGAGCTGTTCCTCCTACTTCATGAACACATTATTATTATTTCTTCTGTTGTTATGATCTTCTTCTTCTTCTTCATCTTCAACATTTCATCGCTCAGAAATCTTCAGTTTCAAAGAAAACTGCCGCCAGGGCCAAGAGGATGGCCTCTTGTGGGTTCACTTCCATTAATGGGGGATATGCCTCATGTTACCCTCACAAAAATGGCTAACAAATATGGACCCATCATGTACCTTAAGATGGGAACTAGAAAAATGGTCGTGGCTTCAAATCCCGCTGCTGCGCGAGCCTTTCTCAAAGATGCCGGCCATAACTTTGCGAACCGGCCGTCCAACGCCGGCGCCACCCATGTGGCTTATAATTCTCAGGATATGGTGTTTGCTAAGTATGGACCTAAGTGGAGGCTCATGAGAAAGCTCTGTAATCTTCACTTGCTTGGTGGAAAGGCTATTGAGAACTGGGCACAGGTTGTTATTATTGTTGTTGTTATTATTATTATTATTATTATTATTATTATTATTTAGCCTTGTTCGGATGTATATTTTTTATATGGCATGATTTTTAGAATCTAATAACATGTTTAATTAATTTTTTTTAAAAAGTTTAGATAAGTGTTTTTGATTTTATAAATAAGTTTCACTATTATTTTTATTTTTTATTTTTTATTTTTCAAAAAATTAAAGAAAATGAAAATATCATGAAATTATTATTTTTATTTTTAAAACACATTACATTTAGTTATTGAAAAATTATTGTCGCAAAAAATCCCATTGTTTGTCTTCACCATGCATGGGTTATCATCGGACAACTTGGCTAGCAACAATGCCAACCATATGCCCAACAATTACTATACATAGACCACTATCATCCAAAGTAATATAATTAAATAGATTATTTGTTTTCTTTTGAAAATTAATTTTTAAAAGATAAAAATAGAAACGAAATCAAATAACTTTTAAAATTTCTCTCGTTGAAATAAAAAAAATCAGTACAGAAATGAGAAAGATACGAAAAGAGAAAATTTAATCAGATCCATTCATGTGAGTCATCCATTCATCTTCCATATATCATGAAAGAATGAAAATTTAATACGAGAAACTTCAAAGCCAAAAATGAGTTGGCGTTATTGTGTGTGCGCGCTCGCCATTTAACAGGTGCGAGCCGAAGAACTGGACCAAACGGTTCCGGCAATGCACCGGTCGAGTCTTGTGGGGGAACCGGTGGTGGTGCCGGAGATGCTAACATACGCCGTAGGGAACATGTTAGGGCAAGTGATCCTGAGCCGTCGTCTGTTCGATACGAAGGGGAGGGAATCCAACGAATTCAAGGACATGGTGGTGGAGCTGATGACCACCGGCGGCTATTTTAACGTCGGCGACTTCATCCCCTTTCTGGGCTGGCTCGACCTTCAGGGCATTGAGCGAGGCATGAAACGCCTGCACAAGAGGTTCGACGCCTTGCTGACAAGGATGATCAATGAACACGTGGCGTCCAATGATAGGCGCAAGAGTAAACCTGATTTCTTATACGCTATTATGGCTTATGGTGGAGGCGATCACTCTGATGCAGACCATAACTTTACACTCACCAACGTTACGGCTCTTCTTCTGGTACGTCTCGTTAACTCTATTTGTCTTTCTCCGCATGTGCATGGTGGGTAAGGAATTCTTTTTTTTTTTTTTTTGTGCATGCCCTATACAGTGTTTGAGTAGGTAAGTTTTAATGTTTTACTGCTTTAGCGGACAGGATCACTTGGAATCTTTAGATTAAAAATATCATGAAAAAATATAATAACCAGTAGGTCCCTATGCTTTGATTTCGTAATGTCTTGGTTATTGATTTAATCCTTCAACTTTGACTCAATATAACTTAATTCGTGATAGTTTATCAAAGTATGAAATTGTAGAGACTAATTAAGTTGTACCAAGTAAAAAAAATAATAAGAGCTTAGTTGTTTCGAATTAAGAAATTATAAGGACTGAAATAATTTTTTAAGTCAAAAATTTAAGAATTGAAAGTTTTATCTCCATACCAATAAAAGGCATAACTGAATAACACAATGTCCTAACAACTAATATAATGGGAGAAACTTATATATTTGACCTACATACTTAAAATATTTGTTTTTAATTAAATAAAGACATGTGTATGTTATTTATTCTATAATAAATTATTTACAAATATTATTAATACATTAATTAAAACTATTTGTTTTTTATTTGATTGAATTAAAATACATTAAGTATATAAGATTAAGTACCTAAGTCTTGCACTTATACACTAATGCATCAAGGCAAAAGCTCTGTTTTTTCCTTATAATTTGGATTAAAACAAATTTTTCAAAGTTCTCTTATATTCAACTGTATTAGTTGTTTAAAAAAAATAAGACGAAATTAATTAGTACAAAACTACAAAGAAATAACATTGAAGGATCACAAATTTATATGCATTCAAATTTCTCATACTTTCATGTTATTGCAGAACCTATTCGCAGCAGGCACAGACACATCCTCAAGCGTCATAGAATGGGCACTTGCAGAGATGCTAAAAAACCCTAGCATCATGAACAAAGCACAACAAGAAATGGACCAAATCATCGGCCATGAACGTCGTCTCCAAGAATCTGACGTCTCAAACCTCCCTTACCTTCGAGCAATCTGCAACGAGACCTTCCGGCTACATCCTTCCACCCCTCTCAACCTCCCCAGGGTGGCGGCCGAGCCGTGTGAAATCGCCGGCTACTTCATCCCGAAGGACACGAGGCTGAGTGTCAACATATGGGCCATAGGACGAGATCCTGACGGGTGGGAGAAGGCATTGGAGTTCAAGCCAGAGAGATTTGTGAGTGATGAGAAGAACAAGAAAATGGATCCTGGTGGGAATGACTTTGAGTTGATTCCTTTTGGAGCTGGAAGGAGGATATGTGCAGGGACGAGATTAGGGATTTTGATGGTTCAATTCATATTGGGGACTTTGGTGCATTCGTTTGATTGGAAGCTTCCAGAAGGAGTTTCGGAGCTGAATATGGAAGAGACCTTTGGACTTGCCTTGCAGAAGAAAGTTCCTCTCACAGCTATGGTTAGCCCTAGGTTGTCCCCTAGGGTTTATACTTTATAGCATTGCCTCAAGTTAGACGCTGACATGGAGTTCTGGATGGATTCAAGGTGTCTGCTGTCTTCTCTTCGGCCTCTTATAATGCCCAAAATCTCATCCGATGTCTTCATCATTTGAAGGAATTAGATGAAATTTCTTTCATCATTGGCCCTAATGAACGGCTAAGATTTTAGATATTAGAGAGGGCATTAGACTTCTCAAATCCATTCAAGACAGCGTCTTTAGAAGAAAGCAGTGGAGAAGTGGTATTAAGCATACACATATAAATTATTGTAGAATTATAATAAAGGATATTATTTTATGCTGCGTCTAGAGGTGGGATCAAATCCACCATTAGATATTAGCGCAGAGTTCTGGATGGATTTGGAGTGTTAGTTGTCCTCTCCTCTGTCTACTTTAATGTCCAAAATCTCAGTCCTTCATTTAAAGAAATTAGAAGAAATTTCTTTGACCATTGATCCAAATGAACGGCTGAGATTTTGGATATCAAGGAGGACATTAGACACCCCAAATCCACTTTACCACGCTTGCTCTGCTCTTCGAGCTAAGGCTCGTTCAGTAAGTGAGCTAAGAACGAGTTTCGAGTGAAGTTGCTACAGGAAGAGAAAAACCTCAGATAATTGCAGTGGCACTACACAACAATTAAAGTGGCATTCTCCCTTAATTGAAATTTAAAAATGAAATATATATATATATATATATATAACTATACTAATTTTTAGTATATTTTTACAGTTTACTCAACGATAGAGGTCATGACTGTATTGAGATTTAAAAGATTAAATCTATTTTACATTTTTACCCAAGAAATAATCATTTTTTATAACCAATTTTTCTTATTGTGTAATTATAAAAGAAATAATTATAGAAAACGAGTTAACAACATGTATATATACTTTTACCCAAGAAATAATCATTCATTTCGTGACTTAAAAGGTAATGGTCTGTCAACAAATATTAATGCAATTAATAAGAATTTAATCTATAATTTATAAAATCATGAGTTTAGATGTTGTTGCTGATGTGAAGATCTTATTAATGAGTGATCTGTAAATATCTCTATAAATATTCTTTGAGCTCAAAGCCATGCGCAGATACTGGTGAGCTCTCAAAACTCAACTCACCTATATTTTTTACTTTTCCCTTAATTAATTCTCATTATTTTCTTAAAAAATATTAATTACTAGTAACATTGCACCTCCAAATTTTTGCACGTCACGTAATTAAAAACGAAGGAAGAGCATATAAGAAGTAAAGTAATATTGAATATTTCAAAAAGCATCAGAAATTAAATTATAATTCTTGGTTCGCACCTAACAGTACACCACGTAAAAAATAATTTATTATTGTATGTGTTGTGGGATATATATATATATATATATATATATAAATACAAGACTCATCCCTTCTCTTATTATTGCTTCAATAATTATTAATGGCTTTCCAAGAGCTGTTCCTCCTACTTCATGAACACATTATTATTATTTCTTCTTCTGTTATGATCTTTTTCTTCTTCTTCGTCTTCAACATTTCATCGCTCAGAAATCTTCAGTTTCAGAGAAAGCTGCCGCCAGGGCCAAGAGGATGGCCTCTTGTGGGTTGACTTCCATTAATGGGGGATATGCCTCATGTTACCCTCACAAAAATGGCTAACAAATATGGACCCATCATGTTCCTTAAGATGGGAACTATAAAAATGGTCGTGGCTTCAAATCCCGCTGCGGCGCGAGCCTTTCTCAAAGATGCCGGCCATAACTTTGCGAACCGGCCGTCCAACGCCCGCGCCACCCATGTGGCTTATAATTCTCAGGATATGGTGTTTGCTAAGTATGGACCTAAGTGGAGGCTCATGAGAAAGCTCTGTAATCTTCACTTGCTTGGTGGAAAGGCTATTGAGAACTGGGCACAGGTTATTATTATTATTATTTTAGCCTTGTTCGGATGTATATTTTTTTATATGGCATGATTTTTAGAATCTAATAACATGGTTAATTTTTTTAAAAAAAGGTTAGATAAGTGTTTTTCATTTTATAAATAAGTTTCACTATTATTTTTATTTTTTATTTTGCAAAAAATTAAAGAAAATGAAAATATCATGAAATTATTATTTTTTATTTTTAAAACACATTACATTTAGTTATTGAAAAATTATTGTCGCAAAAAATCCCATTGATTGTCTTCACCATGCATGGGTTATCATCGGATAACTTGGCTAGCAACAATGCCAACCATATGCCCAACAATTACTATACATCACTAGTACAAAAATAACTTTTTACAGTGGTTAAAAATTACTTTTTACAGTGGTTAAAGAGACGATGTTGTTCTAGAGGATGTAGAAAGTATCTCTTTTTACATCGATTATAAACCCGATGTAAAAATTAAATTTTTTACATCGGTTATAGAGCTGATGTTGAAAATTATATACAAAAAAATTAAAAAAAATTTACTTTAACTTTTTACACCGGTTGGGATCGAAACCGGTGTAAAAGGTACACTTTTTACACCGGTTATTACCATAACCGGTGTAAAAAAAATTATATTCTACAACGGTTGTGGTAATAACCAGTGTAAAAAGTATTTTATTTTTTTTACTATATTTATTTTATCGATTTTACCCATTCCTGTGCATAGAAATTGCCAAATCAGACAGCCCAATTAATTTACAATTGTTTATCAAGTATTTATCAACTATACAAAGCTATTTAACTATTAAAAAAACTAATAATTGTCTAAATTGTCAAAATTGCCATTCCTGTGCATAAAAATTGCCAAATCAGACAGCTCAATTCATTTACAATTGTTTATCAAGTATTTATCAACTATACAAAACTATTTAACTATTAAGAAAACTAATAATTATCTAAATAGTGTCAACTATCAAAATTAAAACATGTCTAAAAGTAACAAAAATCTCACAAGTTCTTCACAAAATAGGTTGCCCAATGTATGCAGATGTCTTCAATTTCAGCTTCAGAAAATGCATCCGAATTGTCGAACATCTAAAATTTAATTCATAAAGTAGGCATATTAATCAATCTCAAATAACATCATAAAATAAAATTTTTAAAAATATATATATTTACCTCTTTTGTAAATTCGGTCATGCCTAATGTGATAATATTGAGCATGTGCCTCATGACATATAGACCGCACAAGTTCGTCCTCACCGGTTATCTATGACTCTATATAAAAACAAATCATAAAAAAATTAATAAGAAATCTTAATAGTTGAACATATTAATAAAGTATAGCATCACCTTTGGCTCAATCTATGTGGGATCCTTGAGCTCATGTCCATGCTTTTGTAAGACTACATTTTGATATGTTCTCATTGCCCTATGATCAAGATTATCAAGTTAAAAAATATTTAAAAAAATTAAATTAAATAGTTTAGTAAAAGTATTCTTACAATTCTATCGTCTTCTTCATTTCTTTCTTAAGTTTGTAATGGAGGAAGCATAAAAAGACGACAGTGTTGCTCTTCATTGAAAGAACAAATAATTGCCAATGGTACCTGCTAAATATGATACAAGTTAAAGTAAATTCATATTAAAAAACTATTAATTATAAATTGATCCTTACGAGTGCATATATGGAGCCATAAAAACATCCTTTTTGACTTCACATATTCTCTGTTGGAGGTACGCGGCCCTTAACTCTGCAGTATTACCTTTCTCTGTCATGTGATGAGGGCAAAGGAATCCAAACTATCACCTTTGCCCGATGTAATGCACAAATGATGAAGATACCTACAACAATGCAATTATATGAGTTTACTAAACTTGATGATTAAGTTTACTTACAACAATGCAATTATATTAAAGAAAAATACTTACATCATAAATAGTTTAATGTGTGGTGTGTAAGCTGATTATTTGATAGAAGTCGAACCAAATCTTCCCGTTCAATTGTCACTATCATGTCTTTCTTGCCCACAACGTCTAGATCCATTTCTAAACTCTTGAACTCGAATGATAAATCATATGCCATTAAAATCATTCGCTGATGCGGAGTCAACGAGGGTTTTGGAAGCTTTGGGAGATTCGGCGAGGAAAGCTTCGACATAATAAAAAGACAAGAAATAATTAATAAAAATATATATTAGGAAGTTGCTACATAATAAAAATTCATGAAATTTCATACCACAACTTGAACCAGATTCACAAGTCTCTTGGGCCATAGGATAAAATTGCCAACAGCTTCAACCACAGTCTTCACCTCATCAGTAGGGAATGGAACCAAAGCATCTGGCACTTTTGGATCTACAACCGCCACTCTTACTTGATCATCTTGAATTTGCTTATAGTAGATATTTGACCCCAAGCTATAGATGCTACCAAGAGTAACCAAGTGTTTATCAGGATCTTCTAGAAATATCTCACATGGTTCACCAATGTTGTCACCAGAAGGACCCTTTAACACACGCTCAAGAATATTACTCCCTTTTGTACTATGAAATGCAGGAGATATATGAACTGGTTTAGCAGTTGTCTCCTGTTGTGAGCTCATCATGCTCATCATCTCCTCCTTCATTTTCTCTTTCATTTGTAGAAGCCGAGCTGTAAATGAAGCTTCAAACTCATCCTTAGTCTGCTGCCTCATAGTGGATATCAATGTATCAAGCTCTTCTCTAGTCACTACACCTTCTAAATTGGGACATGCAGATGCTCTAAAGTAGTCCTTAATGCCCACACCATATCCAACGCCCCTCACACGACCCGGATGCTCTGACTTGCCTGTAGTAATTGTTAAGATATCATTTCTGCCCTCTGGAATGAAGCTTCCTTGGGCTTGTTGCTCCTTAAGAGTATCCTATAATATAAAAATAACAATAGTAATTAATAATATATACAATTGTATAGAAATTTAAAAGGACAAGGAATAATAATTTTACTTACAATCCTCTCGGCAATCTCCCGTGCTGTTTCACTTGTATAGCCTCTTTTCTTGTACTGATGTCCATATCTCTATTTCTCCTCTCGAGAGATAGGTGATGGTGGAGAAAGGAGTATGGAAGGATCAGACTTGGCTTCTTCTTCTCTCTTCTTTTGTTTCTCTGCCATTAGTATATCATCAGCTCTAGCATAACCTCCACGAGATAGGGTGTGGGGGCATTGATTCTGCCGAGCAACTTCTCGCCCTTTAGCTCGTTTTTCCTGTTAATAAATTGAATTTTAGATTTATAATTGAAGTAAATCTATATAAACTTAAATAAATTAAAAGTTAACAAACCATAGCCTTTTCAAAAGTCCAAATCCTAACAAATTCTTCCCAAGTATCTTCATCAAGGAATTGGTATGTATCAAGAGGATTGGGACGAGCCTGACCCACTGGCACCTCGATAAAAATATATCTTCTAGCAAGATCAGTCTTAAAATTTCTCCAACGTGTTCCACAGTAAGAAATCAACTTGTGTCGACAATCTTAATTAGATGGAACATCGTATGTGAGCTACAATGAAGACATAAGATAATAATCAATAATTGCCCAATAATATATAACTATAAA